GCGCCCACAGAGGCCAGAGAACGTCTGTGGGGACCCCGGTCTGAGTCCCCGCGTGTCTCTCTCGCCGCAGGCTAAGGAGCGGGAGCTGGAGCTGAAGAACGCCTGGTCAGAGAACAAGCTGAGCCGCCGGCAGACCCAAGCCAAGTACGGGTTCTAGGGCGCAGCACTCAACCGCCCCCCGCGACCTCCTGCGGCCCGGGGCCCGGCCTCAGCTCTGGGACCCCGGCTGCGCCAGGTCCAGGGTCTCCCGTGAGGACCCAGCCCTCGCCTCCGCGAGAATGAACACATTTGATAGGTTTTTCTTAACAAAAGTTAGAAGATTCAGCTCCTCTCTGTCTTGGAGCAAAGACTCGAGCGATGACGCCTCAGATGGGGCTCCGAGCCCTCGGGCGGGGGCGCTGCTCCCTGGTGGGTGTGATGAAATGGCGACCCCTCCCTCCACCGTTTTTTTTTTGTTTTTGTTTTTGTTTTTTTAATTTTAAACCAGGGATGTCTGTTGAAATAAAACATTCAGTCTGATGGACGTTGCTTGCCCCGACCCCTCTCCTGCTTTATAGTGTGCCCTCCTTTTTCAATTCTGGATCTTTCTCATGTGTTTTCCTGTTCCCGGACCTGATTTTACCTTGTGTAAAGCACCCCCCAAACCCTCACGACCCGCCTCGTGTTTGCCTGGCTTTTCTCCTCTCTGCCCACCGTCTATAAGTGGGCTCTTGGCCGTTGAAGACCCGAAGTGCTCGTACAGCTTCAGTGGGGCAGGGCCCTGTGGTCCCAACTCTGGAAAGTGTCGCTGATCTCCAGTGTCTGAAGACTAGAGGAAGTCAAGGAGGTCCTTTCTGTGACACGGAAAAGTCGGAAGAGTCGTTACACGTCAATTCCAGCCCAGCAGGAGGCAAATGTCCCTGGAGGAGACTCACGTTGACACCAGCTGCCATTGGCCATGACCGGTTTGGAAGCTTTGGAGAGAGCTTGGTGGCTAGACAGGTCTCCTTGGGGACTTCCGGACCCCTAGCTTTTTGCTAGACAGGGAGGGGTGGGTGGAGGGGGCGGGCGGGGAGGGAGGTGGCAGGGTCAGAGACCTGAGTCGTTGGCCCTTCTGCACCGGGAGGCCCAGCTGCGGCAGGACCGATGGCGGGGTTCGGGGTTCGGGTAGCCCTGCTGACGCGTGTGGCTGGGGCGCCGGGACTCGCCTGGCTGCAGCTCGGCCCGAGCCCGGGGCGCTGAGGACGGTCCCACGAGAAAAGCCTTGGTGCCGCCCGGATGGAGAAGCTCGCTCCCGGCGGCCCAGGTTTCTGAACAAGGAAAGCACCGGGAAGAACAGCCGAAGGTGAAGGTTACGGCCACGGGGGTTGACTCTGCGTGTGGTGGCGGGGGACTCCGGCGCGAGAAGGAAGAGGCAGGAGGGGGTCTCCCGGAGCTCCTGGTCTTGTGGGCAGGGTAAGTTGAGGAGTCTGTTTCTCATTAAGTACGGAGGAGGGTTTCGTCACTTACAGGAAAACCACCCACTTATCTGAAATCTGACCTACTTGGGGCTGGAGCCAGACAGGACTCCTGCATCCCACGGGGACACGGGCTACAGCCGCCCGTGGTGGTGCCTCCGGCCGGTCTTCAGGAAGAGGCATCAACCTACTGGCACATCCACGTCCACAGAGGCATCGGGGACCTGGGCTGAGGTCACCTCGCTGGGGTATCTGAGGGGGTCACGCGGGATCCACAGGCCCTGAAGTCTGCGATCCTGAGAGTCCAAAGCTTTGTCTTCTGCACCCGGGGTGTGCACCCAGAGCGCGGCCTCCTGGCCTGCAGCACCCCTGGGACCCAGCGCTGGGCTGCCTCACGCCAGGAGCTGCATCGTGGCGGGGCTGCCCGGGCGCTGGGCCGGCGGGGGGGGGGGGGGGGGGGGGGGCGGGGCGCGGCCAGGACGTGGTCGGTAGGGAGGGTCCCGGTGTCTTCTGGAAGGGGACATATTTAGGGCAGTTGTCTGTAAGGCTCTTGCCTCCCACCTCAGTTCTCTGCAAATAGCCTTGGACCACTTTTTAAATTTTTTGTTATCTTTTGAAATGTTTATTTTGAGAGGGTGTGAGCAAGTGAGTGGGGGAGCCGCAGAGAGAGGGAGAGAGAACTCCAAGTAGGCTCCACACTGTCCATGCGGAGCCCAACGAAGGGCTCCCACTCCCGAACCGTGAGATCATGACCTGAGCTGAAATCAGGGGTTCGACAGTTAACCAGCTGAGCCACCCAGGCGCCCTTTGGGCTACTTTTTTTTAAAGCCACTTTTTAGTCCAACCACAGGTGACCTTTTATTCGGTGGCTGGGATTTCCTGGTCACCATGAGAAGTACTGCCAGGTTAGAAGTACCCTCATCTGGGGAGGCTTCCTGCAGACGGTGGCCTCGAGTTCCGTTGAATGAACAGCAGACAAGACAGGAGGGTGGAGAGGAGGGGGATGGGGGATGGGAACTTGGCTGCAGTTGGCAGAGCTGCCGAGGGAGGAGGGCAAAGGCTTTGGTCCCAGTGGATCAGACAGGCCCCCAGGAGCTACCGGAGCTGCCAGTGCAGGGCTGGGGGTGCAGGGCTGGGAGTGCAGTGTCACACGGGCCAGGGGAGCAGCCCGGGAAGCTCAAGTCCATAAGTAGCAGCTACACAGGGAAGGAAGCCATTGTGAGCTCCCACACTAAGGCCTGTGGCCCTGGAGATGCCCCGGTCAGGCTTTGCCCCGCTGGGGCAAAGTGTATGGGGGTGCCGAGCTGGGGGGCCCGAGCTGGGGGCTGCTGGGCGGAGGAGGCGCTGCAGCGGGTGCAGGGGCTGTGGGAAGCCCCGGGGCAGCCGAAGCGTTGCGGAGCGCTCTGCACCCCTAGCCTTGCTGACCTCCCCTTCCTCTGCCACCAGGGGACAAATGTTCTAGGACTATAGGGGTAGTGGGGGGACCCCAGCGGCCACGCCACTGGCCCTCCTGGGTGGGGTCGGGGGGAGGTGCTGTGCTGTGGACCAGGGGGAGGTTGTGGTAGTAACTGTTGTTCACCCCCCGGTCCCCCCCGCCAACCGGTTCCCGGCACCTCCGTGAGCAGGTTCTGCATTAGTGACGGAGCAGAGGGCAGGGTGGCGAGAGGCCAGACAGCCGTCGGGGTCGCCCTGGTGCCAAAGGGCTGGGGGGAGAAGCTGTGCCCCCCACTCCCAGCGAGGCCTAAGGGAGGCTGCAGGGCAGGGGAGGGAGACTGGGCCCTGTGTGGAGGGCAGTGGGGAGGATGCAGTACTGGGGAGGTGCCCTTGCCCTGTGGTGCCAGGGTCTCTGGTGGGGGGAGGAGCAGCTGCTTCAGAAATTGCCTCCCTCTTTCCCTGCACGAGGCCTCTCCATCCCCACGCCTCAGCTCGGGAGTGGATGACCAGAGCGGTGCAGGGGTGCCGGTGCTGGTGAGCAGGGAGGCTTCCCCACCTTGTTCCTCAGGCCCGGGCCTGCGGCGGGAGCCCCCTGGAGGACCAGCACCTTTATCTTTTGGCCTGGGGGGGGGCCCTGATGTAAGGGGAGCGCTGGATCAGGACCGCAAGAGGTGGGCCTGACGGCCCCCAGCCCCGTCACCTCCCCTCGCTAGACCTCACTTTCCTGGTGGGTTGAACAACCAAAAACCAGCCACAAAGGGTCTGCGTGTCCCGGAGCCCCCGCAGCCCTGCTTCGCTGAGGCCTCCCCCTACACGGTCTCAGCCCTGCGTGCAGGCAGGGAGGCTTTCTCTCCATTTCAAAGGACCGAGGGGGCCGGCGGCCAGCACAGGACCCTGGGTTCTCCCAGGCCACCTGCGCGGGCGCTGCAGGCGGAGTGCCCGCCCGCCCCTCCTGCTTTGTTCCCTCAGAGAAGGCGCCCGGGGGGGCACCAGGCATTTCTGCCCCCGCCCCCGCCGAGCCCATCACACCCCCAGATGTGGACATGCAGACTCCACTTCCAGCTCCTGCTGTCCAGTGGGCCTCCCTCGTTCTGCGGCAAAGCTGTCTGCTCGCTCCCCTCTCCCCCTCTCTCCCCCTGCTCAGGAGAGGCGCAGACAGAAGGGAGTGGAGCCCTGACCCTGTTGACTCAGCAACCGAAGCTCTCCTTAAGCTGATTAGCACTGGCTGCAAAGGGGGAGAATTCACTAGTCACCGGAGCTGGTGCCCGTGCCAGGCTGGGGGGGGGGGGGAGGTGGCGCAGCCGCGGCAGGCAGTGCCCAGGTCTCGGGAGCACCGCTTCAGGGAGGAGTCTGGGGGTTCTGGGCCTCGGGCAGGTGCGGGGCTCCCTTGGCTGGAGGAGGGACCCCGACGGGCACTGTGGTGACTAAACTCACGTAGGAATGAGAGGGTAAGAACTGGGCACACAGGTGGGACCCCGGAGGCCCCAGAGCCCCCCAAGTGGCTTCTGGAGGGCAGGCACAGTCCCGCCTCAGAGGCCCCCAGTCCGGAGAGAAGAATGAGAGATGTGGAGCCTCGCAGGGGCAGAGGCAAGTCCCCAAGTGGGTCTGGGTGGAGAGGGTGGCAGGGGGAAGCCTCACAGGAGGGCGGGGGACAGGATGGGTCCTGACTAAGCCCAAGAGGCTGGAAAGACACAGGCATCCTCAGAGCCACTGCAGGCCCCCGTCCTCCTAAGGGGCTCACACACGCAGGCCACGAGCACACCCTCCCCTCCCCAGTCCTGTGCTTGGCAGGGGGGCTGGGGAAGGGGGTACAGGGCCTGCCCCTCAACTGCTCTCTCCACTGCCCCCCTTTCTCTCCCAGCACTCCCCCTCCCCAGGTGACGCAGCCTCCCCTCTGCCCCCAGCTACCTGCCTGGCTGGCTCTGCCAAGAACAAACACTCGGTGGTCCCTTCCCCGGGAGATGCCCTGCCCCCAGCTTCGCGACCCTTGCCCGGGTGTCTCTCACCCCCCAGACCCACTCTCCCCACTGCAGCAGCTCTTAAACTGCCTGCCCTCCACAGGAGAACAGAGAAGGAGCCAGAGACAGACAGAAGGAGCTGGTGCAGTACTTGGATCCCTGTGGGGAGAGGTGGTTGGCGATGATTTATTAGCCAGACAAGAATCAACAAACAAGTTCCAACATCTGTTCTCGCCAAACCATTTCTCAGACAACAGCAGCATTGGACCAGGGCCCAGACCTCAAAGGCCCAGCGGGCCGAGGAAATCAGACTCTGGGAGGAAAAGCCAGGCGGCGGGAGGCAGAGGGGCCGCCCTCGCCTGCTTCCGCAGAGGACCACCGATCACTGAGCCACTGGATTCTCAGGGACTCGGGAAGGAACTAGTGGGTGTGTCCCTGAAAGAAAGCGACTCCACACTTGCTCCTGTGAACTCCAGGCTCCTTTGTGGGGGCCCAGACCTATCCAGGGAACAGGGTGAAGCTGCGATGTGGGGGAGGGGCCGGCACCCAGGGCCCCATGCAGTGGAATTCTGGGAAGTAGCTGGATTTCCCATCCGAGGAGATCTCTGGCATTTCCTGTGGAAGACAGTTAGTGCATGTAGGGTAAGAAACAGTGCAAAACGGGGTAACTAGGAAGCCTGGGTTCTATGGCCTTGGCCAAGTTACTATCCCTCTCTGGCTCTGTCTCCTCATGGGCACAGCGAGGAGCTTGGCCTGGATCTGAAAGGGCAAAGGAGACACTGCTCCTCCTGCCTCCCTGCCCACAGCAGACATCACTAATCAATCATGGTGCCCTTTTCTGCTGAGTGCAGATCTGACCTTAGCATCCTTCCCAACGTGGTGCCCTCGGCAGCCACGACCAATGGATTGCAGTTGGCATGCAAGATGACACCGGTGTGCCATCTTTGCGATAGATGATGGCTGAGGCCCCTTCTAGGTCTGATTGCCCACGGTGTGTTCTGTGCACACTGCCTGAGAAGGGCGCCCGGGCGTGCAAAGTTCTCTGGCCCTGGTGTCCCAGGTTGTCCCCCCCAGCTCAGACTCACCAGGCTACCGAGGAGGCCCCAGGGAGAGCCACGCCTTTCCTCTGTCCTCTGTCCTCTGTCTAGAAAGCTTGTGGGGGAGGGTGTGCCCCCAGCAGGGCAGGGACTGGTGGGGCATGGAAGGGCCTTGCCCGGTCACAGGGTTGTCAGAATGCAGCTGCTGGCCAGCCAGGTTCTGCCGAGAGAAGGGTAATCCCAGGTCACACCCTCACCTGCCGCCTCTGAGGGTAACCTGCAGCCTCAGGAGCCATCGTCTGGTCGGCACAGATGTCGGCCTGCGGACAGGAGGCTCTAACCCCCTCTCATTCCTTCAGCAACCATTTCCTGAGCACCTGCTCTGTGCCGGGCACTGTGCTGGGTGCTGAGGACACAGCCGGGTGAGTCCCAGCCCCTGCCCCCAGGGAGCTCGCGGGGGCAGAAGGGAGACTGTCCCAGGTGATGAGTGGCAGGCATGTGGAGAGCATGGTGGATGTCTCTGTGGTGCAGTCAGGAAGTCCGAGGAGGGAGTCCCCTGCCTCATGGACTGGTTTAGAAAGACCGTTCTGGCTTCCTTGGGGCAGAGTGGATCAGGAGCGGCAAGGGCTGGTGGTTAGACCCGTTAAGAAGCTCCTGGAAAGGGCGCCTGGGTGGCTCAGTCGGTTAAGCGTCTGACTTCGGCTCGGGTCACGATCGCACGGTTCGTGGGTTCGAGCCCCGTGTTGGGCTCTGTGCTGACTGCTAGCTCAGAGCCTGGAGCCTGTTTCAGATTCTGTATCTCCCTCTCTCTCTGACCCTGCCCTGCTCACGCTGTCTCTCTCTCTCTCTCTCTCTCTCTTTCTCAGAAATAAATAAAACATTAAAATGAAAACAAAGCCAGGTCTCTTAATGTAAATCCTGGTTTGTTTAAAAAAAAAAAGAAAAAAAAAAAAGCTCCTGGAAGATCGTGATGGGGGGGATGGGCTGAAACTGGGGAAAGGGACCCAGCAGGAATCCTTGCTTATGAGGAGTAGTGGTGGGGAGGGGGTGTCTGGGGAGCCCTGGGGTCATGGCCTGGATAGTCAGGTGGCCCTGGACAGTCATAGGTCCGATGGGAAGTATAGGAGGGCCAGTCTGGGGAGAAGGGTGAGAGCCGGTCGCTGTGTTGAGTTCAGGAGGCCGTGAGGCTCTTGGGGGCCGAGCGGGAGACGGGAGGGCACTCTGCATTAAGATGGTGGGGTCTGGGTCATCTGTGGCTCCGCAGCAGGGGGGTGGTGCTGGGGGTACAGGCTCAAGGGCTGAGGCAGGCCCGGGGCACCAGTGGGGAGGGTGGGGAGGAGCCCGTGGAGGGGGCAGAGGCTCAGGGAGAGGGTAGGAGTGGCGGGAGGTTTAACACCGCCCTGGACTGAGACCCTGAGAGAAGATAGGGAGGTGGGGGGTGGAGGAGGGAGAGGGGAGTGTGTGGAGGAGAGCCGTCTGAGATGACCCCAGGGACTCAGAACCGCACCAGGGACTCAGCACCGCAGGGCTGAGGAGGCTGAGGGGAGGGAGACAGAGCCGGAGAGGCCCAAGTCCCAACCAGGATGAGAGGATGACTGGAGCCAAGATTCGCTGCACAGGGCGGGGGACACGCGGGAGGCACTGGATGAGAAAGGCAGGGACCAAAATGCAGGTTCCAGGGCGGGGAGGGCTGAGTGGGGCCTGGCCCCTATTTCCTCCGAGAAGTGGAGGGGTTGACAAAGGGGAAGCCCGGCGACCCCAGCTGGCCTGGAAAAGGCCACTGGTGCCCAAGCCTCTGCCTTTTCCATGTCACCTCTGACCTCTGACGTTCACCGGCCTCCACCCGAACACCTATGCCACCCTCCTCAGTCTGGTTTTCGGGACGCCCTCCCCCCTGCGGCCCGCCTTCTCCAGGCACCCCTTTACCTGGCTTTGGGGTACAGGCCTGGAGCGGCACTTGCGCAGGGCCGGGTGCCCGAGGGCGCAGGGGGGGCCCCCAGCCTCCGGCGGCAGCTGAACCTCCACCTCCGCATAGACGTTGCTGGGGGCCTCCCCGGGGCTCCCCCTGCCCATGGCGTAGAAGGCGATGGGTTCATCAGGCTCGTTGTAGATGGGGTTGGAGGGCTTGGGGGGCGGGGCCGGGCGGGGCCTCGAAGCCGGGTTTGTGTAGACTTCAGGGGGCAGCTGAGGCTTGGCGGGCACGGGAGGCTTGGGCCTGGGCGGCTGCGGAGACTGGGAGAGAAGGCCAGGCCGCGGTGCGGCGAGCTGGGGGAGAGGGGGCGTTAGAGCAACCCAGGCGGGGCAGAGGCTGAGGCCCGAGTCCCAGCCTGGCCCCGCCCACACGCGGCCCCGCCCACACGCGGCCCCGCCCACACGCGGCCCCGCCCACAGCCCTCCCTTCCCTTGCCCCACCCCCTTTCCCGCTGAGCCCCTCCAGCCCCATACCTCCTTCGGCTCCGCGGCACCGTCCTGCGTGGGGCCTGCGTTTGGCAACTTTTTGAGGATCGGGCTATATTGAGGGTGGGTTTTTTTCCCGGACTCTGACATTTCAAGGCTTTTGTTTCCGGAGTCTGACGTTTCAAGCGTTAGGGAAAGTCCTGCAGGCTCAGGAGTCTGCCGGGAAAGAAGATCTCAGGGACTTGGTGCCCGAGGGATGGCGGGTTGGTGGGTGGGCGGGTGCTAGTGGAAGATGGGGGGGCACAGAAACATGGGCTGGTTGGGTTCCCTGGGTGAGGAACAGAGAATAGAGACGGCAAGGGGCCCAACTGGGGGAAAGTAGCTCTGATCACAGGCTATTATCCGGTTCTGACCTTACCTCTGCCTGGACCCCAGGCCGGTGGCCATTTGTGCCTGTGGTTGTAAAGATGCAACAGGGCTTTACAAGTCTTTAGCCTGAAAATTCTCAGCGCGGGGACAGATGCCCAAAACTGCCTGCCTGGGTTTGTTGCTGGGGGTGCCAGAGGAGTACTCTATGGAGGTTTAAGCTACGTATTTGAGGGGCAGAGAGACTGCCTCCAGGGGATGAGCCTTACCGCCAGAACGTTCCCTCCCATGGTGGCTGTGCTTTAGCTCAGCAATTTAGCCCTGGCTTTATAAGAGCCCTGGGCTCTCCTCATGCCCACGGCTTTGAGACACTCAGGCCACAGAGCGTGTCTTGTGCTTCTGCGAACCACCGCGTGCGTGTTCAAGAAATCCACATGGGAATTCCCTCTCCCGCCCGGTCCCCCTTCTCTCTCTGGATTCCCTCCATGACTAAACAGCGACACCCCCAACCTGCTGCTGAGACAGCATCTTAGGACGCTGAGAAACTGTGTGCAGGCCACCAGGGGGCTCCTTCTGATTAAATCCCGCAGTCAGCGCAGGGACCGCCCTCACAGCTCTTCCCTGAGACATTCTCTCTCCCTGGCCTCCAGCGCACCACAGGCCCCTGGTTTCTCCCTCCTCCCTCCAGCTTATCCTTCTCAATTTTCTTTGCCAGTGTCCCCTATTTCTGCAAGCTCTAAGTGCTGGAGAGTTGGTACTCCTTTCTTTTCCACCTATGCTCATTCCCTGGTGAGATTTCCGCCTTCCTGAAGGCTTTATTTATTTACTTAGTATTTAAAAACGTTTATTTACTGATTTTGAGTGACAGAGTGCGCAAGCACGCAAGTGCGAGTGGGGGAAGGGCGGACAGAGAGAGAGAGAGAGAGAGAGAGAGAGAGAATCTCCACCCTGTCATCATGGAGCCTGACTCAGGCTTAATCTCAGGAACCCCATGAGATCATGACCTGAGCCAGAATCAGGAGTTGGACGCCTCACCACTGAGACAACCAGGCACCCCTTGAAGGCTTTCAGTCCCTCTATATGCTGATGAATCCCAGGTGTTAACTCCAGCCTAGACCTCTATCCCAAACTCCAGACCCACATATTTCAACGGCCTACTTGACATTCCCACTTTTTAAAAAAGTAAACTCTGTGTCCAACATGGGGCTCGAACTCATGACCCCGAGACCAACAGTCACAAGCTCCACTGACTGGTCTGGCCAGGCGCCCCTCCACATCCCGATTTGGATATAGATCAGGCATCTCAAACTGTGCAGGTGGCACTGGGCTCCTGATCTGCCCCGCCCCTTGGGGTTTGCCCCTCCTGCCGCCTCCCTGACCTCAGTCTCACACTCCCCATCCAGTCCTGCAAAAACTGTCAATTCCACCTTCAGAACACACCCTGCATTCCACCTCCTCGCCCTTCCGCCTCTTACCCCCTCGTCCAGACTACCATCAGCTCACCTGAAGGAGTGTAGTGGCCTCCGTCTGGTCCCCCGTCCCCCCCCAATCGTGCCAGGTCATGTCACTTCTCAGGTTGTAACTGTCCGGTGCCACTTCACCTCACTCAGAATAAAATCTGAAATCCACGTAAGAGTCTGTGGGTCCCTCTTCCTTCACTCTCGGTCTCACCGCCTACCTGTCCGTCCACGCTACCTCCCTGGCTGTTCTCACTCTTCCTCACACACATCAGGCATCCTCCTGCCTCAGGGCCTTTGCATCTGCTGTTACTTCTGCCTAGAATGTTGTCCCTGTAGTTGTCTGCATGGCTTTTCCCCTACTTCCTCCAAGTCCCATTCAAAAGTCCCCTCACCAGAGTAGCCTCCCTGACGTCCCTACATCAAATAGCCCCAACCCTGTTACTCCCTGTCTTTTATTTACTGAAAAAATTTTTAATGTTTTTTTTTTTTTTTTTTTCTTGAGAGAGAGACAGACAGAGCGTGAGCAGGGGAGGGGCAGAGAGAGAGGGAGACACAGAACTCAGAGCAGGCTCTGGGCTCCAGGCTGTCAGCACAAAGCCCATGGAGGGGCTCAAACTCACAAAGTGTGAGATCATGACCCGAGGTGAAGTTGGATACTCAACTGACTGAGCCCTAGGCGCCCCCTGATTTTTTTTAATGTTTATTTTTGAGGGGGAGGAGGGGCAGAGAGAGAAGGAGACACAGAATCCCAAGCAGGTTCCAGGCTCTGAGCTGTCAGCACAGAGCCCGATATGGGCCGCAAACCGCGAGATCATGACCTGAGCCCAAGTTGGACTTAACCAGGCGAGCCCCCCAGGCGACCCAGCTCCCTGTCTTCTTAGCAGCGTTTACCTTACGGACATGTTATGGATGAGCTGCTTCTCTGTCCCAGGTGACCCCTGTCTCCTCGCTAGACTCGAAGCCCCAGAAGGCAGGGCCGTTTGGATCCCTTAGTTTCTGCTGGATTTGGGGTGCCGGCCGGCGGCCTGGCCCACGGTGGTCCTCAGAACTGCCTGAACCCCTCAGGAAGCTCCCCCTCAGGTGAGCCCAGGAGCGCCCCCCCCCCCACTCTGCATGGCCCCTCTCATCACACCCGACTGCTGTCATGTTTCTGTCGTGGTGGCTGCTAAGTGAGCCTTGTGGGTTTGAGGCCCTTCCCTGCCGACCTGGTTCTATTCTCAGGGTCGGTCAGCACCCGCGCAAGCCGGAAGCTCCGCAAATAGCTCTTCCTGAACACCGAACCCGGTGTGGCCTTCTCCCAGGGGTTCCGGGGGACACGGGTGGGTCAGAGGAGGCGGCCCCTGCAGCCTGGGTCCCTGCGCCAGCGGCCGCGTACCTGGCGGGCCAGGGGCTCGCTGAGCGTCTCCCCGTAGGGGCTGAGCGGACACGCGCTGTAGTGTCGTAGCAGGTCCTGCAGCCGCGCGTGGGCGCTGTCCTCGCCCAGCACCACGTGGCGCCCGTCCCCGCGCTGCGCCAGCAGGAAGTGGCGGCAGCGAGTCCGGCTCCTGGCGGTGCGGGTGAGGTCAGAGCCGCCCCGGGCCGGCCGCCTGCCCCCGCCCCCCGCCCCGCCCCCCGGGGAGGTGGGGGAGGCCCGAAGCTCCGCCTCCGGGGCACGAGCCGCGGACCCTGCCCGTCACCTGTAAGTCAGCACAAAGGTCACCGCGCTCTCGCTGAACCGCACCAAGTAGCACCCCTCGGGCTTGGGCTCCAGCAGCCTCTCGGCCTCCCTGCGGGAGATGGAGAAGGCACCCGTCAGCCTGTTTCCGGCTCTCAAGGACGACCCCAACCCCAGCCAAGCGGGCTGAAGTGGCCGGAGAAGGGTGGGGTGGGGGGCAGAGAGGGCAGGGACTGGAGAAAGCTGGGGTGGGGATGGGGGTGGGGGGAAGGAAGGGTCCCACCCAGGAGAACTCCCAGCCCTGCATCCTCCCCAGGCCTAATCCTGGAGGGCAGCCTGGAAGCGTTCTGGTGCAGTGGTAACAGACTTGTAGATTTCAGTGTTTTTTTTTTTTTTGTAACATTTGTTTATTTTTGACGTTTATTTATTTTTGAGAGAGAGACAATGAGAGACAGAGAGGGAGCGCCCGCTAGAGAGGGGAGGGGCAGAGAGAGGGAGACACAGGATCCCAAGCAGCTCCAGGCTCAGAGCTGTGAGCACGGAGCCGGACGTGGGGCTGGAACTTATGAGCTGTGAGGTCATAACATGAGCCGAAGTCAGACAGTTAAGGACTGAGTCACCCAGGCGCCCCCAGACTTGCAGATTTCAGGAGTCACGGGCTGAACCAGAGGAGGGAACCAAAAGATGCAGGAGAGGGGAAGCTGAGGAACACAGGAGGGAGGGGCTGGGCGGGCAGAGGGAAGGAAGAGCAGAGGCTGGAGAGGCAGAGACCCTGGGAGACAGTTGGGGGGGGGGAGGGGAGGGCGTGAGGACCAGAGGCTTAGGCACAGAGCCGGTGGGCTGCAACCCCTCCAGTGACCTCACCCAGGACAGACGCCCCAGAGAACGGCCTGGGAGCTCCCAGGACTCATCGATGGACCTAGAGGGCCCATCTTCTCTGACCGCCCAGGGCTGTTTCCTCCGGTGACTTGGTGACTCACCTCCGGGTGATGAAGCCGTGGAACCAGGGGGGGGCCGCCCCGTGCTGCAGGAGCCAGTGGGCCTGGGTCTTCCGGAACCACGCCCGGGTCTCGGCCTGCAGGGACAGGCCGCCTTCCCCAGGCACCTCTTCGGCCTCCTCAGCCTCCTCTGGGCAGGAGGCAGGCCCTGGGGGTTGATCACATGCCTGGAACGGGGAGAGTTCGCGGAGGGGGGAAGTAGCCATGATTAGTGGGCTTTCTCCTGATTCCAAAACAGCCGCCACCTTCTCCTCCTCATCCCTGCTCTCCGTCCCCGTTGCCTATCTGGGGCTATAATCGCCCAGAAAGCGCTTCTCAAGGCCCAGCTTAATGCCCTTCCTCAGCTCCCCCTGCTTCGGTTCCAGAGCCTTTCCTTCCACTTTCGTCCAGTAGCAGTGAGCCGGGGGACTGTGTTTACATGGGTGTGAGGCCTTCCAGAAGGCCAGAGTCATTGCCTGGCCGGTGGGATGGAGGGAGAAGGTGCTACTGGCCAGCCCGGAGGGTGGGATGCGGGAGGCTCGCTCTCCTGCATGATGGGCTGGGCTGGGGCGGCGGGAGGATTCCTAATGTCCGGGTGGGTGAGAGGGACCGAGACAGAGGTGCCCGGGGCAGACGAAGGCCACGGACAGAGATGCGGATGCCCGTTTCCGGGACTTGGTTCCCTGTACCCTGGTCACCTGTGGGCTCAGGCCAAGCTTCCCGGGGACAGAGGACCGGCAAGTGGACAATATAGCGATGAAGGAAGTACTCTCCACCTCCTTGCCCTCCCGCCCTCCGTGCCCCGTGGGCGGCCCCGGATCATCGCCGCTTTCTCCCTGTTGGCCTGTGTTCACCTGCGGGTCCTCACCGATGGGAGGATGGGAGCCTGTGAGGACCCACTCACCGCGGCTTGGGCAGCGGGGACCCTGGGGCTGGGCTGGGCCTCTGCAGCCTTCGGGGCCTGGAGCCGGGGCCCCTGAGGCAAGCTCAGGCCCTGGCAGCTTCTGCGGGGCAATTCCACGGGCAGGAAGGTGCTGAAGGTAGTGGTGGGGGCTTCGCGGCTTCCTGTTAGCACAAAGAGGGAGCTGGGTTTCTCAGCGAGGCCCAGGCTCCGCGGTGATCTGGGGGACAGGGACAGTTGTGGGAGCAGAAATGCAGGCGGGACTGCAGGGGGCCTCTGAGGTGGAGGAGGGTAAGGAGCCAAGGAGGTGCCCGCTGGCCAGGGAGACAGGGCTGGGCAGCCAGGTGGCCTCCCCGATGGCCCGGAAGTGCCACAGTGCTGGGCGGGGGTGGCGTGTGTCCTCAGGGCAGACCTCTCTTTATGGCCCAGAACCGTCTGCCTCCTGGCCCTGGTTCCCCCCTCCACCGCTCCTCCCCAAGAAGCCCTCCCTGGAGGCTGCCACCCATGTCCCCCCGCTGAGAGGACTGAGCCCCAGAGAAAGAGAGGGGGTCGTGGCGCCTTGCCAGCCAGCCCGGCAGGTTCTGGCCTGGGGACAGCTGGGGTGAGGGGGTCTCGTGTCCCTCCCCCCACAGTGTCTGACCTTGCACTTACCTTGGGGGCTTATCTGGGCTAGGGGGAGCTCCATGGGTGCGGCCTGAGAAGGGAGCCCCTGCAGCGCGGGGCGTGTGTGTGCCCTCCGAAGATGTGCACACTCAGCAGCTCGTCTCTGTCACCTCGGCCCCCGAGGGCAGGAAATGTCGCCTTACCCACAGCCCTAGCCCTGGCAGAGGACCCACGTCATGGAAAGCCGTAAGACACTTGTCCCTCCCCCGGAAGCCAGGCAGCCGAAGGTGGTGGTGTGGTGGTGGGTATTTGTGTCATTCTGGGTCTGGGTGTTGGGAAGTCCTTACTGCCGTCTGACCTTGATACCTCCTGTTTCTTCCTCCACCCCCTCACTCCAGACTGGGACTCCCTTTTCTCTCTCTCTCCCTCTCTGTCTCGCTCTCAGCTTCTGTCATGAGCAGTAGCAATGGGGATGTCAGCCTCAGAAGGATAAGCCCTAATAGGGGGCCTGGGCTTTGGGCTCCTCGGAGATTCGCTCTCAGGATCTTGCTTTTAGAGCATGTGAGGAGTGGAGGGAGGCAGGGCTGCAGCAGGAAGGGAGCCGGGCAGACTTCTGGAAGGGCTCTCTGAGGTCGTGTGGGGTCTGTGAGACAAGATGGGGAGGGGAGGCGGCCCGGTGTCACGTTCCAGCAGATAACGAAGCTGGGTTAGGGCCAAACCAGGCGATCCTGGAGGAAGGAGGGGGAACTTCCTCTACGATGCAGGGCGTGATCGGTGGCAACATTACGACCGTCGTCACACCGACGCTGGTGTCTTAAACTCACACTGTGCTCACCCCTCCTGCCACACCGGATGACCCATCCCATTTCCCTCTCATTAGATGCTCACAAACCTAAGGGACGGGGAACATTATCCCCATTTTTCAGAAGGGCAAACTGAAACTCAGAGACGTTAAGTGCCGCGGCCTGATGTTTCAGAAGTTGGGGTCAGAAAGTAGATCTTCTAACTTAAGCCAAGAGTCCATTTAAGCCAAGAGTCCATGACAAAGTGTCAGGCGCTGTTTCTGGGGCCAGGAACCCAGAGGAAAAAAGGATCTTGCCCCCAGATGTCGGGTGGGGCAGGCAGGCCTGTCACCAGAGTCCTGGTGGCCACAGAGTGGCGCGGGCAGGCGCACCCGGCTGGCCTGGTGGGCAGGCGTGCACGGAGCATGTCGGAAGAGGAGGTTGAGCTGAGTCGTGGAGGACGAGTCGGGGGAAGATGAGCAGAGGTGTTTCTAGAAGAGGGACGAGTGGGTGCAAACGCGTGTAAGAAGGAAACGGCCGAGGTGTGGGGGTGGCGGGGGGGGAAGGCATGGCTGGAGCGGGGGGCGGTGGCTGACGGGCCTCAGCACGGTTCGTGCTGCTGGATTATTCGTCTGGGCTGCCATAGTGAAATACCACAGTCTGGGGGGCATAAACGACAGACATTTATTTTCTCACAGTTCTGGAGTCTGGAATTCCAAGGTCAAGGTGCCAGCAGGGTTGATTTCTGGTGAGAGCTCTCTTCCTGGCTTGCAGATGTCTGCTTTCTTGCTGTGTCCTCACTTGGCTTTTCCTCTGTGCTTGTGCAGGGGTGGGGCTGGGGAGTATCTCAGCTGTCTCCTCCTCTTCTGATAAGGACATTGGTCCAATCAAATCAGGTCCCCACTCTTAGGACCCCGTTTAACCTTAATTACTTCTTTAAAGGCCCTCTCTCTCAATACAGTAACACTGGGGGGTTAGGGCTTCAACATATGAATATTGATGGGACATGATTTAGTCCACACGCCAAATGTCAACGCCTGTCCTCTCCCCTCCAGAAGCTTGCATCCTAAGGTAGGTAGGTCCACAGAAGAGATTTGGCGATTCACAGCGTACACTTCCTCCAGGACCTCAGGGGAGAGACCTGTCCTCTGGGGGGACGAGGGTGGAGGCTAAGTTTGCGAGGCGTCCGGGTTGGGCCATGATGAGAAGTCACGTGATCAGAGGTGAATGACCGTATGACCCAAAGCAATCTATAGATTCGGTGCGGTCCCTATCAAATTTCCAGTGGCACTTTTCACAGAAATAGAACAAACAATTCTAAAATCTGTATGCAATCACCGAAGACACAGAACACAGTGTGGAGAAAGAACCAAGCTGTGGACGTCACGCTTCCTGATTGTGAAGTACATCACAAAGCTATAGTAGTCAAAACAGTACGGCGTTGGTGAAACAACACACAGGTCCACGGAACAGAGTAGAGGGCCCAGAAATAAATCCAGGCACAAATGGTCAATTAATTTATGACAAAGGAGCCAAGAACATACCAATGGGGGAAGGGAGGCCTCTTCAATAAATGGTGCTGGGAAAGCTGGACAGCCACATACGAAAGAATGGAACTCACTTTACACCACAAACAAAAAGTAACTCACAATGGATTAAAGACCGGAGATTAAAGGAGATTAAAGGGATCCAAAACCATAAAACTCCTAGAAGAAAGCAGAGGTCATAATCTCCTTGATATCAGTCTTGGTGGTGATTTTATGGATTTCACACCAAAAACAGAGGCAACAACAGGAAACATAAAGAAATGGGACTACATCAGGCTAAAAAAGCTTCTGCACAACCAGAAACCACCAATACAATAAAAAGGCAACCTACTGAATGGGAGAAAATATTTGCAAATCATATATCTGGCAAGGGATTACTGTCTAAAATATATAAAGAACTCATGAAACCCAAACAATCTGATTAAAACATGAGCAGAGGATCTAGACAGACATTTTCCCAAAGGAGACAAACAGTTGGCCAACAGGCACACAGAAAGGCGCTCAATACCGCTAACCATCAGGGAAATGCAAATCCCAGGCAACAGAGCGACGTCACCTCACACCTGTCAGAATCGAGAAATAACAAGTGTTGGCGAGGAGTGGAGAACTGGGAGCCCCCGTGCGCTGTTGGCAGGGATGTAAGTTGGTGCAGCCTCTATGGAAGGTTCTCAAGAGATTAAAACTAGAGCTACCATATGATCCAACAGTCCAGCTTCTGGGCATTTATCCAAAGGAAAGACCACCCTGACCTGAGCAGACACCTGTACCGCTACATTCACCATAGCATCACTTACAATAGTCAGGACACGGACGCGACCTAAATGTCCGTGGGTGGGTGACTGGGTAAACAAGATGTGGCATGTATGTGCAATGGAATAGTATGCAGCCATGAAAAGAAGGGAATCTTACTATTTGTAACAACATGGGTGGACTTGGAGGGCATTACGGGGAGTGAAGTAAACCAGAGAAAGACACATACTCTGTGATCTCACTTTTGTGTGGAATCTAAACAAAAACAAAACAAACCTCCAACTGACAGACAGAGAGGACAGGTGGGTGGCTGGCAGAGTTGGTGGTTGGGCAAAACAGATCAAGGGGGTCAAAAGGTACAAACTCCCAATTATAAAATAAATAAGTCATGAGGCTCTAATGTACATTGTGGTGACTATAGTTAATAACACTGTATCATAGGGCTGCCTGGGTGGCTCAGGTCATGATCTCGTGGTTTGCGGGTTCGAGCCCCCACACAGGGCTCTGTGCTGACAGCTCAGAGCCTGGAGCCAGCTTAGGATTCTGTGTCTCCCTTTCTCTCGGCCCCTCCCCCGCTCTCAAAAATAAAAACATTTTTAAAAAGTTCTCATCCCTAGAAAAAGAAATTTGTAACTATGTGTGGGGACAGATGTTAAGTAACTTTTTGTGGGGACCACTTGGCAGTAGACACAAATATCAACATTACATTGTATACCTGCCGGTAATATAACTGTAATCTATCAATATATCTGGATAAGAAAAGAAGCCCTGGGTAGAGGGGGTGCCCTGGGCACAGGGGCAGTCTGGGCAAAGCCCAGCTCGTGTTGAGAGCGTACTGGGTCGGACCTCTTTACCGTGTCCATGTCCCCTCCTCCTCAGGCTGAATTTGCTGCTCAGGTGACTTGCATGACAGCAAAGGGGAGAGCTGGCTGGGGCGGCCGGAGGAACGCGGAAGCAGCTGCAGCCCCTATGCCTGGAGTGGCTGTGTGTCCAGATGATGCCCGGGTTAGAGCAGGCAGCGCCTGGAGCAGATTGAGAGGGATCCAGGGGTCCTGGGAGTCTGGAGAGGCTGCAGGGAAGGTTCTCGGTGACCCGCGAGTCAGGTTTCAGACCGCTTGGTGGTGATGGTGAAGGGAACCCGGCGGGCCCGAGGAGGCTCCCTCTGGCTGTCCTGGGGGACCTGACGAGCTGAGGACATCAAAGGCACCAGGACATCTGAGGATCAAGCAGAGAGACGTCTTGTAGATTCCGGGGGCGGGACCTGGAGGTCTGAGGTTTTCACTTTCTCTCCTCTAGCGCGCTCAGGAGTGTAGACCGTGGCCGGCAGGCCCGCAGACTTCCTGGTACAGCCCTGGGGCCGAGGTCCTCACATGTGGTCTGAACATCAGCCACCACCCCTGCTAGAGGAGGCAGGTGAATCTGCAGATGTCTTGTGGCAGGCATCGTGCTTTGGGGCGTACTTGTGCAGTGGGCTTCCCACTTCCCAGATGAGTGCCACTGAGGCTAGAAGTAAGTTACCAATCACTCGCTGGAGCAAACGAGTATGTTTAGTTAGGATTCAGTTTGAGTCTAACTCCAAAGGTGGGGTTTCCTCTCTGCACTCTCTGCCCTTAGCTGCATTTTTTTTAAGTTGATTTATTTTGAGAGAGAGATAGAAAGGGGGGGAAAGAGGGAGAGAGAGCAAGAGCAGAGGAGGGATAGAGAGAGAGAGAATCCCAAGCAGGTTCCTCACTGTCAGCACAGAGCCCGATGTGGGGCTCGATCCCACAAGCCACGAGATCGTGACCTGAGCCAAAATCAGGAGTCGGACACTTGGGGCGCCTGGGGGGCTCAGTCGGTTAAGCGTCCAACTTCGGCTCAGGTCGTGATCTCACGGTTCATGGCTTCAAGCCCCGTGTCAGGCTTTGTGCTGACAACTCCAAACCTGGAGCCTGCTTCTGATTCTGTGTTTTCCTCCCTCTCTGACCCTTCCCTGCTCATGCTCTGTCTTTCTCTCTCAAAAATAAATAAACATTAAAAAAAGAAAAAGAGCCAGACTCTTAACCGGCGGCGCCACCAGGTGCCCCTGCCCTCTGCTGCTTTAGCTGC